ACCGAGCCCGAGCGCGATGCTACGCAGGTCTTTGGCTGCCAGCATTGACTGCCCCAGTGAGACTGGGGGGTAAACTGAGCAGCTTATGCTTTTTTTTTTTTTTTTTAATTGCTGGCTCTTCAGACTATCCTTTTTTTTCTTAAGTCCATGTTGTTGTAGAGGTGGGATGTTAGACGGATGACAGTCACCCACAACACTCGGCCACTCGGTTGTCCAGATGAACCCCTCTGAAGACCCCACTCACCCTTCCTCTCATCTTTTTGCCCTGGCGCACCCCCACCCCCCCGGTCCTACCCTAGTGTTAACCACCCACTGCAGGACCATCACCCATTGCCATCTTGGCAAGATGACCTGACTATCCTAAGTCCGCCAAATAAGCTTTTTCATCATAGCAGCCCTAGATTTTGGTCCATACTCAGAAACCCTTCCCCTTTATCATACCAATCCAAATCAACCAATGCTAACTCAGAGAAGGGAAAAAGGTAAAGAAAAGATTCTGGTGATCTCAGTAAAGCTCCTGGTTGTATTTTGAACCAGTCCTGGAAGGTAATATGTTAGTCTCTCCTACGAGAGACTTCATCCCCCCCTTCCCCTGGCCAAACTATATCCCCCAGTCTCTCCCCTGAGGAGTCCCCCAACCATTCTATTGTGAATTTCAGCAGTAGTTGTTTTATTTCCGTTTTCTGATTAAAAGTTTTTAGTCGTCTTAAAATTAGCCCAATGAGCTCGAATTTCTGTCTGTATAAATTGAATAATGATTTCTGCAAATTCTTTTCCCTCTATTTTTATTTTCTCCCATACATATACACAACGCTTATGCCATAGAGCCCACAATATTGCTTTCCTTCGTATATTAAAACAATTCTGCTAGAATTATGACAACTCTGTTAAAATTGGGTTCCAATATCCCAATCGTTTTCCAACACCACGACCAGTCTAACCTTGTTAATCTGTTTCAGATATAGTCCCACCTTCTTCATATAAGCTTGGCTCCTGGACATTGCAAAAAAATATGCTTTATAATTTCTCTGCTTTTTCTACGTGGGAAGGCAACAACACATATCTGACACCATGGGAGGGTTAAACCTCGCTGCTCCAAAGACGAATGATCTATTAACCAATCGTTTCTCAAAAGACATCTATAGGAGTCCATTGTAATGATGCAAATTTGCCTGGTCTCTCCCTGTACCCTTTACACCATGGTATTACTTTAAGTGCATGTAGGTGAACGTTTAAATGTTTATGACTAAAACATCTACTTTGGGTCTTAGCAGACGGTAGGATGCCTTGACAGATAGTGCCTATATCCTTTTTGCCTTACTTCTTTTTGATGCTTTCCATAGCCATTCAACTGGATCTAATGGTAGCTCTTGAATTGGAAACTCCGGGTGGAACACACGCCAACCTTTCGAGAATGAACAGAAAAACCACTCTAATCCTGTATAAGTTATTTACAGGAAATAAGTCAACATTGTCTTGGTTCTATTGTGATAAAGAGTGGTCCTTTTGCATTAGGAACAAACTAACCAGAGTCTCGTCCTACTGAATATCAATGACTTGTCCTACCACCTTGGTTCCATCAGGTTTGTTCCCACATACGCAATCTCTTGCTAATAAAACTGACCCCTTTTTTAACGAACCTAACCCGACCAGTGGAAAAGAAGTAATGATGAGATGTAATCTTTCTTGTAAGTCATTGACATATTTTATTTCCTTTTTCAACTTTTCTACTGTTTTTCAATTTTTTTCTCCGAATTCCAAAGGTTTCAAACTCTCACTATTGCATTTTTAACCCAACTGGACCAAAGGGAATCAGAACTGATGTACTCCCTCCCATTCGCATCCATAATCCAACGGTTGCCACAAATGGGTTGTCGTAAGATTTCTTCGTATCTTAAAGGCAACACTTTGTTTGGTAGAGGGAAACTGCGCTATATTTTCAATAAGTCTGTCAAAAAACTGTCCAAAACCAGATTTTTCCTAGTTTCCCCTCTAACCCCTTCTTTGCGTGAAAGGGGATATGGTAATGGAATATGCCAATAACGATCCTCCACCCATGTGAGGGGGTGTGTCTCTCTTACTCATATTGGGGCTAACCTACGAATTTGTTCCAAGGCCAGATCGTGCCATAGGAGGTCAGTTACGAAGATCAACCTCTTAAGCCATTGTAAAGACAATGTTTGTGACTGTGTATTTGGATCTAAAATTCTCAAACCTCCTTTTACTTTGGGTTGAATAATATTGTTCCAGGCCACTCTTGGGATCACATGAAGGGTCTCATGATCTCCTCGCCATAAAAAAACAGTAAGTACTCTTTTGAATTCTTCATTATAAGTCTTGTTAAAAACTATGCTACAAATAACGGGTGTCTACACAGAGTGAGTTGGGAGACCCTCACACAACCAAGGTTTAAAGGAGGGTTAGGGATTTTGGATCCGAAAAGGGAGAGTGAAACGCGTTGGCAACATACCTCTGGAAAAACT